TTGTAACATCCTGTGAGATGCAGCAGTGAAAAAAGAAAATTTTTCACAAAAATGTTTTTATGGAGCACTTAAAGAAACAAGTGAGGGGGGTTGTGTGTGTGGTTGGTTGGTTTTGTGGTTTTTTTTCCCTTCTCCATAATAACATGTTAGATGAGTGGGATTAGGCAACTCTTAGAACAGCTGTATCAGAGCATGGAAACCATGGAAGCAGAGGGAGAGAACACTAAACTTTATGAAGAAGGTTCAGTGGGTTTGTGTTTAGCAGGTACTTGGACCTTGAAAGCTCTCTTCTGGTCCCGCCTATACTCCCTATCTTGAACTGGTTTTTTTTTTGGTCTTCTGCAAGTTTAACTTACCTAAAAATTGCTAAAAGGATCTTTTCTTCTTAAAAGGGCATTGTTGCTTTTCTTTTGCATTAGGTATTTGTGTCTTTGCTGTCTTTCAGAAAGCCTGTTTTGCATAATTTTGGAATAAAATATTGCATTGCAATACCAAGCAAGTAAAGTCTTGATTCTGTTAGACATTCCTGACTATGTCATGCTATTTAGTCTTACTGATTACCTAACTTTTTTATTTTTGTTTTTTAAATCTGCATGATATTATTTCTCTCACTCTGGCAAAGCCAGCTCTGCCTTGGCTGCTTCACCTCCACAGCCTGCATTCTGACTTCTGGAGGGGCTTCCTCTGCTACTGTTCTACAGAATAGGAAGAAGGCATCCCAGTGAAGAAGTTCTTTCTTCAGAGTGCCACTGATGCCTTTTTGTAGCTCTCATGTATAAGAAGTCAGCTTTTCCTCCTGCTCAGTCCTTTTGTGCAACCCATCTATTTGTCGCTGAATCCAGAGTTGCGTTGCCGTACTGGGAGGGTGCGTTGGCTATGGTGCGCTTCTTGGCTCAGCTGAAGGAAGTCTTGCTGTCATGCAGGGAGAAAGGGAAAAGGAGCCCCTGCTGCATGCACAGTGTATTCCAGACTGAGCAAGAGCATCTTTTGATCTTGCCATGCACTTGACCTCTTTATGTTAGCTCAAGGTAGATGCTTCAGTTTTCACATGGCTGGGAGAGAACTCCTGTAGTTTGGGTACCTAGAAGGTTACCGAGATGTGGTCGACTGATTACTGTATTTAGTTAACTGAGGAGTATTGCCAGCCTCAAGAAATGACTTGTATATCTTAATTTCCCTCTGGCAAAAGCTTTATACAACATATTGAAGATCATCTGAGCGTGAACTTTGTTTATCTAGTAGTGAAAATAAATTCCACAGTTAGTTCTCCATTAATAATGTGAATCAGAGGAGCGTTAGCTTGAATGACCGAACCGGTCCCATTTGGTTTAGTGTGATGAGGGAGGAGCATTGGGAAATCTATATGGAAAACATTGAAGCCAGGACTGACTTCATCAGTTTATACCTTGAATTATGCCCAGGGGCAATAGTAGCCTACATTCCGAAGATGTTGGCATTATCATCGATTTCTGGTGGAGGAAAAAAACCCAACAAACCCAAACACCATGACCTAACAACAACTCACCCCTCCACCCTACCACCACTAGAACTCTGAGTTCAGGTTTCTGTAATTAGAATTGTTTACCAAACCTGTGTTGTGCAATGTCTGAGTACACAACATGTGTACACTTTGCTGCTAGTTCACTGTAAGTGCACAGTGTGAACCATTCTTTTAATATATTACAATTCCTAAGTGTGTAACTATACACTTGCGCTTCTGCAGTTAGGGTAGAGCTTACCTGTAAATCAGCAGCAGAATTTTGAAAACTGAATTGATGAAATGCTTTTGTTTTAATGCTCTCTTAAAATATGGTTTGAAATTAAAAATATTTTACAAAATGAGACATTTTGATAGAAAGACATCCAAAGCAGGATGATGACTGCATTAATGTTCTACCAGATGGCTGCTATCAATAGCAGTACTGGGATTGAAACTTTTCATGTTATAGGCAACGTAATATTATAAAGCACTACATTCTGAGATTCAAATTTGAGTCTAATCTGAAAACAAGCATTTGGAAATCTTGAGGTATTAGTATGGCCTAAGAGTGTATTTGGATGGTGATTCATCACACATAATATCAAGTTTTCTACTTCAGTCTCTAGCAAAATCCCTTAAAGTGTAGCTGCTCACAGTAAACATGCAGAAATATATATAATTAGCTTGCTTCTATATGAAGTATGAGCTGTGCTGTGCATGTAGTTCAGAGTTTAAAACGTAAAATGTCATTTTTATTGTCAGCCATGGGCTATTTTTTAATGAGCGTGGAACCAACACACCTTGGCATCACTTAGCAATGCAAGGGAGAAAGCTTGACACCACCAAAACCCAGCAGCTATATTCTCACTATTAAGAGTCTGAGTGTGCGTGCTGTACACCTTACTTAAGCAGATGTGACCACTGAACTTTAAGTTACCATGTCTGAATGGCACCAGTAGCTTGGCACACTTTAAGAGACTAAAAATTTATTGTTAATCATGATCTAATATCTGCAATGGCCAATTTTTCTTTCTTTTTATTTGACATTCATGATGCTAGAAAACATTTTTTTAAAAAAATAGAGACACAAACCATGAAATTAAATCATCCAGTTAGTAGGGGACTTCAAATGAATAGTCATCCACTAATCTTAGTGTTATTTATGGGTTAGTGCAGTTTGTTTATGCTGCAGTGGGAGAGTTTGGACTCGTCTTCCCATTTGTAAATTACTACTACGTCAGTCCTTCAGTGTTGTACTTAGACCCATTTATTGAATTTTCATTTAAAGCACTTCAGTGCTCATGTTAAATTTGTCTAGACTGATATTAGCAGTGGATCTAATAGAAAGGAATAATTTGAAGGAATCTGATGAGGAAGAAGGTAACTGTCACTTTTAGCAGCTGTACTTGACTGTAAATGCTACCTTAGTACATAACTGTTCTTTTTTCCCCAAGAAAGGTTTTGCTTAGGTTCTCAAACACAGAGCGGAAAACTAATGTATCTTCTTACTAAAAAAAGCTTGTCTATTTTATGTATGTGTATAACTTAATAGTTCATAGAATATTACCTAGTTTTGAAGTAACTTGCAGTAGCTCTGGAGTATCAGCACTGCATTTCAAAAGTAGTTGTAAGTGATTGACCTGCTAATGTAGCTAGTTAATATCCTTTTAAATCAAAGATATAACTGTAGAGTTGGTAAACTGCTAAATAATCTTTCTTAACAGCTACTGTTGAGTAGAAGGGGTGAGTGGAGGAGGAGGAAGGTTATTCCTGAACATTCATTATTTTCTTAAAAGAATAAGAAACTTGAAAGGCTTCCTTTATTTATGCATTCAATATGTCTTGCATGTTGTGAATCAAAAATTTGGCATTCTCTGATTAAGTCAGATCATCTGCAGTGAAAACCATATGCATCCAGAAATCTTTACAACTTCTTCAAAGTACTGTTCACTACATGGAAATACTCTACATTATATTGCTAAATCATTTATAAACTTTTCTTAAAGTCAGACATTTCCTTTATTGGGTGAAGGTTTGTTTTGCCTTCCCTCTGTTTCCAAAGGAGGTAGAATGGCTCTAAGTCCTCGAGTAAATAATGCTGAAATTACAAGAATTTTCATTGCTAACTTCACTGAGATTAGGCTTTTATCTGTGGCATGTGTATTTATATGCTGGCACAAATCTTTCATATCTAAAAATATTCTTTATTTGTAATGTCAGATATATGGCTTTATGTATTGCATTCATGCTTTGTAAATGTTGCAGTAGTAGTGAGTAGCTGTTGAGTCCATTGCTTAGAAAATATCATCTGTGATAAATTGTTTGGAAATATTTCAGATTTGTAATTCTGTAGATTAATATTTCATAAAGTTTCTTATTTCTTCTTTTCATATAATGCCTTTCTTCAGTTTGTCTTGTGCTGAAAGAACGCTTAGATTAAAAGTCTTTCCTTTGAGGCTTTCCTTCTATGAAGCAGTTCATTTATTTCTAGTGCAAGGTGCCTGTAAAGGATGTTCCTGTAGTTACGACAAACAGAACTATCTTGTATGTAACCTTGTTGTGCACAAATGACTCGGTCACAAGAGAGTGTAAGCTTATTCTCAGAAGTACAACAAACAAGAACTGGGGATATTTGGTAACTATTTTGTAATCTTTTTAGTTTCATAAGCCTATCTTTACCCTCTTTAAGACTTGGGCACAGGCTTCTTTTTGTATTTTAGACATATTTCACAGTTTAACAAATCTCTTTAATACTTTCTTTGTGGTAATGAAAAAAGCTAGAAATGTGAAGTGTTGGTTTGATGTAAATGGTATCCGGTAACTTACAAAACCACAATCGTCTTAGTTGCTTCTAGATTCAGTCCTTAACACAGGTTTCCATAAATTACTTGTACTATTATAGACCTCTCTTCTTGCTGAGAAGGTACAAAATGAACAAATTAACTTTGCTGGTCACTATTCATAGAAAAACACTCAAAAGACTGAACCCAAAATTCAGAACAACAAGCCTGTATATTGCCAAATGGCTAGGTTTATCTTTCCTAATAAAGAGGTAGTTTTATATACTCAGTTTAACTGGTGGGTTTTTTTTTTTTCTTTAAGGTTGCAGTTCTGCTCTTAATACTTACACTCCATTAACTGTACTAGAAACCTAGTAAAACTGATGGTGGCTTTTAGAAATGTTTGCATGTTCTAGAACATATTTATGCTTCTGCCCAGTAATTTTTAGAAACATTTTAATCTTATTCCAAGCTTTTGTACCTTTGATGGACCAAAATACTGTTCAAAGTCTATTTGACAGGTAATACTGATGTTGAAATTGTCGAGTTTGACAAAACAAGTTCGGCTGACTTCCTGTGAGAAGCAGATCTCTGAAAGATCTTTTGTCAGTAACAGAAACGAAAGCTGCAGAATTGGAGCAGGAACGAGTTTATTCCATCTCTATACTGTGTGCTCATTTGTCTTTAGTATCAAAAGCTATTAACAGTTCCCCCCCCCCCATTTTTTTTTCTCTCCACAGGGAGGCAATAATGCAGGGCATACAGTTGTTGTGGATTCTGTGGAGTATGACTTTCATCTTCTGCCAAGTGGGATCATCAATCCAAAAGTGACTGCATTCATTGGTAAGTGGGACATCTCTAAAAAGCAGACGATACTGTAGTTACAGACTTCTTACATGTTAAAATAACAAAATATATCTGAGGACATGTGGGATCAGAATTTTTCTTCTTCAAACTCTCATAGGCCTGAACTGCTCTACTATCTTCTTAATGTCGTCTTAACTCAATTGCAAAGTTTGTGTTATGGAGGTTTCTTTTACTGTCTTGGATAGTTCATCTTTGTTCTTATCTGTCCTATCAATGCAAACAGCTCGCAGCATATCTTTGTTCTCCCATTTGCTCTTATTTTCTCTACCAATTGTTTCTTCTATTCTCAGAATTCCATCCTCTCTGTTTTAATCTTGAGCCTTGCTAGGTAACTGCCAGTACCTTTTGAAACATAAATCTTTCCTCCCTTTTCCATTGGATTGTGAAATGAATGCTGCCTCCAAATGCCTTCTGCACTGTATAGTTCTTACTAAGAAGTCCTCTTGGGGGAAGTACATTAGAAGGTTTAGGGCAGTGGCAGTACTATGTGATGTCACAATCTATGATCTGTTTGCTTCCTGAAAGGGGATTTAGATTGTCCTGTCTGTTGTCTCTACAAGCCTACTTACCTGCCTCCCTTTCTTGGAATCCTGTTTCCAATCCTATGTGGTTTTTTGTAATTTTTTAAATTTGGATTGCTTGTATGACCAACCTACTTAATAATGCTGTGTAGTCCTTAAAATTTCCTTCTAAAAATGAAGGTAAATAAAAACCATGTCTACACAGTATTATATCTAGGCATGTGCTTGTGTACTGTTTCAGAGATCAGGTGAGTCTCTGGGTCACTAAAGGCTATGACCCATCAACACTTCCATCCTGCTTTTTTGATATCCAGAACTCCTGTGCCTTACACAGTGTACTTCTCCGGGACTCTATTGCCATGGTCTTCCTATCACTTCTTCCTGCGTATGTCATTGCTTTGAGCCTGTAGTCTTGCCCCTCAGCTTGGTGCGTGTGCCAGGAGTAAATGGTCATTGGCAGTCTGCTAAACAGTGTAGCAAGTAAAGAGCCTCTCTTGCCAGTTACTTGACTCATAAACAGTACTTGCTGAATTCTTAGGTCCACCTTGTAGTGGCTGTATACTGGCAGTGGGCATTAACTCTTTAATTGATGGGAATCGGTGATTAACTGCCTCTTTTCAGCTGTTACATTGACTTTATAGTGGGATAGTTTCGGATCAACTTGCCCTGCCTAATACTTCTACAGAAATTGAGCCAATGTGCATGGAAATAGATTCCCTCTGATGAAGGGGAGGTTGGGATGGTAACTGCTGCTAGTTTTGAGGGCTGTGGCAGATAATACTGCATTTATTCTCTTTTGATGTGTTACTGTATTATGTTTCTTTAAAAGGTTATTGCTTGAAAACAGTAAAAAGGATGCCCATTTGCCATGTTTTGTTTCATGGATGCAGGGTTGAGCAGGAAAGACCCCATCCTTTAAAAATACAGTAGGCAGGAGAGAGCTTTTTACAAATCTTATTGTCTGCATCTGCTGTCTCTTGGTTGTGTATGTTCTGAAGTTTGTTCTTCTAGCTTCTTTTAGGTCTGCCTTGTGTTTAAAATCTCTTTTCGGGGAAAAAAAACCCCTGGCTTAGGATTCCACTGAAGGGGCTTACAATTTCAAGAAAAAAGGGCAAAGGCAAAATTATTGGAGTATTATAATAGATTATTACTATTTATTAGGGTATTAAGGTTATAGTGAAGAAGTCTTAAATACTTTCTGTTTCGGTGTTTAGAATGCTTTTATCTATGTGAAATGCAGATAGTTTCAAATGGCAAGTCCCTTAATTCTTTAGCTAGATGTTATCATACTGATAGCTTTGGATCTACTGATCTACTGAGTTTGACCTTAAGATGGTTCAGTTTTGCTATGTGGAAATGCTCCTTCTTAGGCCCTCAGTGATGCTGGTTAATTGTATGAGCTGGTAGTCTTTTTCTGAGCAATATGACAGCTGTAGGAAAGTGAGCTTGCTTTTGATAGAACTTTTTGCTCTGTTATTTTTGCTAGTCTGTTAACAGCCCCAACTCTATATACAGAATATTCTGTTTACAGCAGAAGAGTGCCTGAGGGGATGCTAGTATTTATAATGATGATAGAGATGTGCTAAGCTTTTAAAAAAACAATAGGGTTATTAAAATGAAGTACAAAGAGGGAAGTTAATTTTAGATATGAGGAAGTTGCATTCTGGACTGTCCCACAATGCTGTTACTGTTCATCCTGATCTAAATTGAGAATTTGTTGAGTTGATTAAAAAGATTCAATGCATGTAGTTAGAAATGCATGTTTTAGGTGTGAATCGGGCTTTTACAGATGAATTCCTAAGAATAAAAATCGCAAAATCTTGAAAATTTAAAAGCTTAAATAAAATGCTCTGCATACAAAACATGAAGTGCCTTTAAATTGTTTGGAATATTTTTTCCATGCTCAACATAATTCATTACATTTTGTGCAATGGTTTTCTTCAGGAAACGGCGTTGTAATTCATTTGCCGGGACTCTTTGAAGAAGCTGAGAAAAACTTAAAGAAAGGAAAAGGTGAGAAAATTTTAAGATGGTACTCTTAAAATAGTTTGTGGGCCCTTCCTCAGATAGAGGATACCTCTGTAGAGGTTACATACAATGTGTTTTTGCAGAACTCTGGTTAGCTGCTAGTTTCTTATAGGAGTCTTGCTAGAAGTGCCAGGGCCCTCATGGGAAGACAGAAGGGCCTCTGTACAGTTTCAGAAGAGAACATGTTCTAAATGTGGATGATCTGCAGACGGTTTTCTTCACTTAAAGCAGTGAATTTAAGAAGTGCAACAACTTCCTGTTCGTAGTCATTTTACCTCTTACAATATTAGTGTGCAGTTTGATACGTGTTGATGTAAACAAATGCTGTGTTAATCACTTCTTGATTCAGAGCTCAGTTTTTGGGTACTTTGTTATCTTTATGGCCATGCTTGGCAGCAGTCTACTGTAAGTGAGGTAAATTGATGGTCTAAATTATTCAAAACCAAAAAGCTACTAATTGCTGAAATTGAGGAACTAGTAAAATAGCTAGAATTCATCCTCAGAGTAAGCCTGACTTTCTCAGCTTTATAGGCTGATGCCAAGTTTTAATTATTGAAATCTACTTTTTTTTTTTTTTCCTCTGGAACATGATAGCTCAGTCTTTAAATAGATTGACTGAAGACAAAACATGAAAAGTATTTATCCTTTGTACATCCAAAGACAAAAATGCTATACAAAACATAATTTGAACTATTCCATTTTGTCTTTTAAGGGCTAGAAGGCTGGGAAAAAAGACTAATAATTTCTGACAGGGCTCATATTGGTAAGTTCCTGTTTGGTTTTTTTGTTGATTTTTTTTTTTTTTTTCTTTTGTTAATCTTTGTTTTTTCTGAACTTTTGCTGCAGTAAAAGCATGAAAATTTTTAGCATCTCTTAATACAGGTATGGACTTTTCTTTGGATTAAGTCTCCATGTGCTGCTTCGGTTTATTGAAGATCCTAGAAAAAAAATCGTTCACCACTCAGGACTCTCCTAGATTTGTGTTCTAGTGACTTTTTAATCCTGTTCCATAAAGGTAACCTAGTCAGGAAAGCAGTTTCACTTTCCAAGCCAAAGATTAGAGGTGTAAAGCAGTTAAAAAGCAGTTCAGAAGTGAATTGACTGAACGATTCATTTCCCCCTTTGGTGTAAAAGCAGTGTTGTTTATAGTAACTCTTCTGCTGGGAAACCATGTGACTTACAAACTAATGGGCTCCCTACCAAACAGATTGCCGTGTGGTTCAGAAAGGAGGCTCTATGGGAAGCACTAAGCACAAGTACAGTCTGGGTGAGGAGTGGATTGAGAGCAGCCTTGTGGAGAAGGACTTGGGGGGGTGCAGGTGGATGAAAAACTGAGTATGAGCTGGCAGTGTGTACGTGCAGCCCAGGAAGCCAGTTGCATCCTGGGCTGCATTAAGAGAAGCATGGCCAGCAGGTCAAGGGAGGTGATTCTCCCCTTTTACTCCACTGATGAGACCCCCACCTGAAGTACTGTGTCCAGCTCTGGGGCCCCCAACACAAGAAAGACATGGACCTGCTTGAGTGGGTCCAGAGGAGGGCCATAAAGACGATCGGGGTCTGGAGCACCTCCCCTAGGAGGACAGGCTGAGAGAGTTGGGGCTGTTCTGGAGAAAAGAAGGCTCTGGGGAGACCTTATAGTGGACTCCCAGTACTTAAAGGGGGCCTACAGGAAAGGTGGGGATGGACCCTTTATCAGGGAGGGTAGTGATAGGATGAAGGGTGGCTGTTTCAAACTGAAAGAGTTAGGAAGAAATTCTTCACTGTGAGGGTGATGAGGCACTGGACCAGGCTGCCCAGAGAAGCTGTGGCTGCCCCCTCCCTGAAAGTGTTCAAGGCCAGGTTGGATGGAGCTCTGAGCAACGTTGTCCAGTGGAAGGTGTCCCTGCCCACTAGATGATCTTTAAGGTCCCTTCCAACCCAAACCGTTCTGTGACTATAGGGGTGGAAAGAATGGCTGCCCTCCTTGCAGGGAGCTCATCAGTCAAGCACAGTTTCCAGCCTATGTTTCAGACAACTGTGCAGTTCAGAGCCTGGACGTACTATTTAGAATTCAAATCACCAACACAGAGCTTCAGAGGCTCTTTCTGTATCACTCCTATGACATGATTATTACATAAATTCATCCTTTAGATTAGATCTTTAAATATTGAAACATAGTAGTTAAGTAGCTGCATATAGTAGGAAATGGGCTTATTGCTGCTCTGGTAGTCATCTTCTGAAGATGCAAACTTTTTAGGTCTTTATCAGATAAAAGCTTGTAACACCAGAAAAAAGGTCTTGCTTTCTTTGTTTTGTTTTAAACTGATCTGGAATAGCTTACTAAGTGAACATGTTATTTGAGAATAATTGTTTTTACTATGGAGTAACTACCAAGTTTGAAATAGTTGAGTAACTGTTCCTAAGTTACTAAAATCCTTTCTGAGAGTAGAATCACTGTAGGTGAATTACTTGGAAATTACTAGATTATTAAAAAGCTGTTCTGTGATGATCATGTTGCAGTTGCAATACTGTGAAGTTTTCATAGCTAAACGTAGCTAAACAGGTCCTGAGTGAAAAGGACCAGTTGTTGACTGTCACTCATGATCACTCATATTGTCATTCATTCAATATGTTGTTTGTATTGGCAATCGGTGAATGATTAGTCTGTAACAAAAGATCAATCAAAAATAGGGTCGAGCTGCTGGAGATAATCTAATCCTTTCAATTATGGGCAAGTGTGGAAATAAACCCAAAAATAAATTGGTAAGACAAACAAGGAGAACCACTCTTGTCCTAGAGAGACCTGAGTGCTTATTAAATGAGTCTGTTTCTTGCAAGTTTTCAGTCTTTCCTGTGTAATGTGTCGATTAGTTGTTTAACTTTTGGGAGATAGTATTAAAGAAAAATAAGCTGGCTTCTGTTGATATGCGAACTGTTGCACCCCTGTTTATTTGACATGAATCTTGTCAGATTTTTTTTTTTTGCTTTTATGGTAGACAAAAAATTGGTGCAAAGAATACTTTGCATAATCTTTGCTATTAATGATATGTAGTGCTTTAAGAACAGTCAGGCCTTGTGAAGATGACTTCTGTTTACATAACAGATGTTGGTGGGAGCTTTTGTATTTCCAAATGTATTTTAATTGATCTTCGCTAAAATGTAAAATGGTTTAAGAAATCTTTAGAATGAATGAGAATGTTTAAAGTTCCCACCTTAAATTTCAGCAGTATGGTGTTTTTTACTATGACCAGTTTTCCATGATATTTTGAACTGCATGTTTTCTTTGTTATGCATACATTCTTTTGGGCTACTACAAAGCTGAAATGGCTTAGTTATTCTGTGGGAAGGTATATACATAGTCTGCAAATATTCTACAAAATAAACAGTTGGAAAAAAAAAAGTCTCTGAAAACCCTCAGAATTCTTCCCTGTGAAAAAATGTAGCATGTAAAAGAGGAAAAAAACCCTTGTCATTTTATTTGCCTCTCTTCAGTGTGTATAGTTCTGTTTTCGACATTGACAAAGAGGGCTTGAGTTGGTTTGAAGAAATAGTTACTGATATGGTAATTTGTTTCACACATTTTCTGCTTAATTTATTTTCTTAGTGTTTGATTTTCACCAAGCTGCTGATGGCATCCAAGAACAACAGAGGCAAGAACAAGCAGGAAAGAAGTAGGTAGTTTAATTTTATCAAACATAGGATGACTTAGTATAAGCGTATGACTTAATAAATTTGATTTCTGTTATTGTTTGTCATTGAGTTTAAAAAAGTATTAATTATCCTTGTACCTCCTCAACGTGGAGTATGCAGGGATCATTTCTTACACTTTTATCCTCCAGTGGCTAGCAAAAGATTATATTCTTAATGAAAGGATTGTATCTTCGTATTTTGCCTTTTGAAAAAGTTCCTAGTTCCTAATTTGCTTTATAAAAAGAGTTCCTGCTTGCTAATATTTTAATTGTTTACTGGAGGTGTTGTAAAAATATATTTCTGTTTCTGAAGATTGAAGGACCCTTTTGTCATTAGAACTGAAAGGTCTGATATGACTAATTTGTTATCTCAAAGTGCTTCATTGTCACAAGTGCATGCAGATGTTCACATTGTCTACTACATGCTGCTACTGACCTCCTGAAGCTTTTGAAACTTTTAGAAACTAGCTGCTATGTTTCTAACTTGTGATTTCCAAGTAGCTCGCTAGTTCATGGGGATGGGGAAAAAGCTGGCAGAATTAACTGTGACAAGTCTACAGCTGGAAAGTAATGCTGCACTGTAGACTTCTGAGATACCAGTAGGCTTAATCTCTTCTTGGAAGTTTGTCTATGTGGATGAAAAGTAATTCAGTCTTCCTTACCGAGACCTGTAGAAGGTACCATCCATGACAATAACCTTTAAGAGAGTGTCTGATTGGGGTGTATCTTGCTTCACACAGGTTGCTATTGAGCAATAACTTATCAGCTGTTCTTACACTGGGTCATTTTCGCACTTGACTGTGCTGTACCACCTGCTTTGTTACCTGTTATTTTAGGAATTCAAAAAAAAAAAAAAAAAGGAAGAACATACATGTATATTCTTCCATACATTTTTTTTAATGAGCCAGTAAGTGTACATCAGCTATTCTTGAACGTTTATGGAGCGCAAGCTAAAATTGCTATATGACAATATTTGCGGTTAAAAACAGTCACTCATCTACTTGTGAGGAGGAACCACTTTATTAGTTAGTGCAAGGGAAATCACAATGAAGAAATAACACTTTTCTCCAAGTAGTTTGTTTTAAAGAAATGCAGAAAAAAAAGTTACATTCAAAGCTAAAAAACTTAAGAGTGCTGTATTTCTTCTTTCTGTGGGGTTCTTGAAATTCTGCAACAATCATACAGTTTTCAAGCTTGTTAAAGCTGCCAGTGGGCTGAAAGTAGTAAGCTATTTATTTCCTCCTAAATTTTAAGGCTATCTAAGTGTCTGTAGAGCAGCAAGTACTACTACGAGCTGGCTAAGAACAGGCTATCATAAACTGATTATCAGAAAATTGTTTCCTGTTGGTTGGGGATGAGGTGGGGAATTGAAATAGCCTGCTAGCATGTCAAACTGTAGATTTGACTGCATAGCATTCATTTTGGCATTAAAATTCTTTTGTCTAACACTTCAAAGTTGATTATTATAAATAGTAAGTTTATTCTTCAACTGAATCTTTTACCTGTTCAAGTGTAGCTTGAAAACAGTCACAAGTAAGGCTCATATAGCTTCCCTTGCAGAAAGGTTATAGAAAAGGTAATCTAATATCGTATATTACGCTTGTGCAATTGTTTTCATTTCTATAAATACAGACTTCTGACAGCTTAACTCTTATGAATTGGCATGTCTTAATGAAACAAAATAAATGGAAACCACCTCCTTAACAAATTCTCTGTGGAGGGTATGAATTCAGGTGGCGGCTACAGTCAATTATTTAAGCCACGGTGTCTTGTTCTGGTTAAATGATACTGTGTGGTGCAAAGTTGATTAGAATGTCTGTCTTTCCAGACTGGAGGCAAATGTATCACTCCCTGAGATTACTCAATATTGAGTTTAACTGGAAGATTTTGGGTTTTTTCACCAAAATTATTGGTTTTGAATCTACTCCAAACTATTAATGACCTAACTAAAATGAATTATGTGCTGATTATGAGTGTTTCAGTTCACTTACATATCAATTGATATAGCCTTTAGCATAAAGTTTAGATATGACCTGTACGTTCTACTTGAAATGGAGTCCCTCTTGAACTGAGTTATGGTATGGTACCTTCAAGGCAGTTTGAAGAAATCTGAGCCACTCTGCATACACAGAATTTATAACTGAAGAAGATAAGGCTTTGTGTGTCTGCTCAGGGGGAAAAAAAAAGAAACCAAAACAAGAAGAACCAGAACAGAACTAAGCACGAAACTAAGCTTAGCAATGTATAACACGCTTATGGAAATGCTGCACAACTGTTCACTTCTCCTTAAAAAGTTGCTTAATCTTTTGAGAGCTGTGGGGAAGGTATCTGATAATCTGTCTATGATGAGTGCAGTTTGGCTCCATTTTGATAGCTCTTTTGCAAGACTCTGGCAGAAGACACATTCTCAACTAGCTGTACTTCTCTGACAGTAAAGTAAGTGCAAGCAAGTTGTATCTTAGGATATCACTGACTTAAGTTGAAAAATGATTTTCAGGCGGAATGGGTAGGTAAGGGTAAGAAAAAGAATTCAGGTTTTCAGAATCGGGTACGGTGGAAAATCTGTTCCTGAAGCCTTTCTAATGTACAGCATTTTGAGTAGCATTTCCAGTCTTAGATGCTTGTCAGTGTTTTCTGTTTCCCTGGCTCCAACTGAGGCACATAGAATTAAATGAAATATTTCTTACATACGAACTTGAAATCTGTACTGTTTATGCTGTTGCTTTAGGGAGGACTTTCTTTAGGTCTTCAGGACAGTTTTTTAGGAAGGCGTTTAGTTTCAGTTCATGGTACTGAAGGATGTTGTCTTGGCATTGAGTTCCTTAAGTATAGAAGTTAAGAGTTGTGTACAAATAAACATGTAACTGTTCACTAAAGCATGAAAAGTTACTGGTTTAAAAACAGAAGTATATAGAAGATTAATGCATTTATGTCTATAAACAGTGATATTCTGAAACTAAGTTGCATCCTGAAAGTATCTTGTGTTTTAAATGCCTCAAAGTTCTAAATGCTCTCGAGTAACAGCTTTTAATTTTATGCTAAGGATGTATTAGTTTTGAAGAAAAATACCTTAGTTTTATATCAAGAATAATTCCTGTTTATTATCTTTTGAAAGTTTGGGAACTACCAAAAAAGGAATTGGTCCAGTATATTCTTCTAAAGCAGCTCGAAGTGGACTCAGAATGTGTGATCTTGTTTCTGATTTTGATGAATTTTCTGAGAGGTAATTTCTGTATTTTAATGCACAGTTGTAAGCATAATTTTCAGTTTCTGAGTAGTAACCTGTGTAAGCAATTACATCTGGTTGCTGTTACTTTTTAATTAATAATTATTTTTAAATATGAAACTTTTTATTTGTAAGTTTATTAAATCACGTGTAGTTATTAAAATATTGTATTGTTTAAAATGGTTTAATTGCCAAATAATTGCAGATATATAACCAGTAAAATGTAGGATTGGTGGGGACATGAAGAGGAAAACAAACAAAACCCTTACTGAAGCATTTTTGCCTTCCAGGTTCAAAGTGTTAGCCAATCAGTACAAAGCGATATATCCTACCTTAGAGATAGATATTGAAGGGGAATTGAAAAAGCTCAAGGTAAGCCTGCTTCTGTCTGTTAAATGATATAATCACTGTGTGTAGTTACTGGTACATAAATCTCTTGGTGACTGACGCTTGTGCTTGTGTGAGGAGTTAAAACATAATACATATCACGGGGAAATTGGTATGTATCAATTTTAAAGAGTCTGCTAGCATCCTTAAAGGCAGTTTTGACACTGCATTATGCAGCATTACAAAACTTGGTTTCAAGAAGAATATTGTAAACTCTTAAGAAAAAGGCTTGTATAGGGAGAATTATTTTTGGCTTCTTGCTCAAACATACTGTCTAGGAGAAAAAAACCTAAGACTATTAATTCCTTGTGCCAGAAACTTAAGAATTGAAGTAAATTATTATTCTAAGTAATAAGCCTTAAGGGAAAAAAAAAATACTGTCTAACAACATAGAAAAATGTAAGTTGATAGCAGCAGAACTAATGAAGCCTGATTGCCAGCAGACTGGTCTTGTGATTAATTATGAATTCCAATTTGATGTTTTCCCTGCAATTAGGAGAGTTGTGAGATTTCTCAGTAGTATTAATTCTCTTATGCCTAATAGTATGATTTTTGTGGTGCACCTGAATTCTTATTTGAAAAAAATTGTCAGGTGTCTTACCCTTACTCAGCTTTTTTTGTTCTTGCATTTTATAGAAACTTAACTGTATGAGGGTGGGGTTTTTTTTGACCTCTTAGAAATTTCAACCAAATAGGACAAATTGTTTAAAACCATTGAGGTATGTGTGGAATAAGGCAGGGTGTGCACCGGGCATGTTGAAGTCTTTCAGAAAATGAGACTGAAGAAGTCATCCTTCTTGCATCTTTAGTTGCCACTAAACTGAGTTTACCAGCTCTAGAATGGGAGTTCTTAGCACTTTTGTTTGTCTATCTTTAAATAATGTCTGTTACACATGTTGAGTTGTAGTATTTTTATCAATATGTAGACCTAAAAATCAGTTACAGTTGAGTGTTTTATAGTGCTTTATAGTTTACTTAATACACATTAGGATTACAGAATATCTGAAACTTACTGTTAGGGTGAAAACATGTATTTGTAGCTTGAGGAAAACTACTTGCACTTAATGTTTGTTTTATGCTAATGCACTTGATTAAACTCTGAAAGACGAACTGTTATATTTCATGTGAAGTGAATCATGAGAAAGTTCCATATGTTCTCATGGGGAAAAAGCTGTGTACCAAGTGTTAATCTGAACATTACTGGCTTCATGCATCCAGCTACTCAGTGGCATTCAGGCACTTGACGCTTGATTCCAATAAAGAACTTTTTACTTTTACTTACAACTGTACCTGTATATATATCACAGATTAATGCTGCTTTACAATTGTGTGCATTTGTTGGCTTCCAGTGGCCAGAAGTGGAACTCCCCACATGCTGGTTTTGGGGGAGAAATTTTGAACACTTGGAAATTAAATACAGAGTACAGTAAAGTATTACAATTACACTCAAGCTTGCATATTTCTAAAGCATTTCAGAAGTTTAGATTTTATTTCTCTTTTTTTCCTTTTTTTTTCTCCCCTCTTTCCTCCTATGAAGAGCATACATGTCTGTTGTGTCAATTGGAGTCTTAATGTTCTTCCTTCCCTTGTTCACATATTATGGCATATTTAGCATTTCTTTGTGTTTGCTTTTCCTTTTCAAAAGGAATAAGAGCACTGTTTTGAGGGAGTAATAGCACTTGTACTCTGGCTGGCTTTATCATAATGAAATTATACTATATGATAGTCTTTTGTATTATTCAGGGCTGCATGGAAAAAATAAAGCCAATGGTAAGAGATGGTGTTTATTTCATGTATGAGGCTTTACATGGACCACCAAAGAAGATCTTAGTAGAAGGTGCAAATGCAGCACTGCTGGATATAGATTTTGGTAGGTATAATCTATTTTGAGACACATGTTGCTACATACATAAGTTGTGAAAGAGGAACACTAAATAATAAACTCTTCATGCTTACCTGTTCTTATGGCAGAAGTAGGAGTTAGATGCCTCTTGCTTATATGTAGTTACTGTGTGGCTGAAGCATTTCTTCACAATTCAAGTTAACTAAGGACTGGCATGCTGTTTGGTCTTCACTACTTTAAAAAAAAAAGTGTAAACCTAAGGATTTTGAGATGTTTAACTCTTTTATATTTGCTGTCCAGGCTGCTTTTTAAATGAAAGCTAAATATTTAACTAGAGACAAATGCTCACCACTAACAAACTAGACTATATTCTATATTCCAGGAGTCTTTTTTTGTCTTTTCTTTAATTTTCTTTAATTGTGGAAATATTTTTTTTCATTTGATTATATAAGCAAAGTTGTTCTTTCCAGAATTATGCATTTCTTTGTAATTTCTTATCTGATAATGTGCTGACCAGTTGGTAGATATATATCTATATCTTATTTATCTTCTCCCAAAATGAAAAATAGTGTATCTGTATTTTCTAACCTTTTAATACCATTTTCTTAACCATCTCCCTTCAAATTTTCAGTTTCTATTAGTAAGTATGTTTTCTATAAGATAGCAAGGCATGGTTTTCTGGTGTTTCATTCCAATTTTTGACTTGTATGATCATTTAGAATTGTTATGTAGTCAACTTTTGCCTCTGTACCAATTGAAGTAAGTGGTAAGTTTTCTACCTTTTTCAGTAGAGAAGGATCAGACAATGTACATACAAAGCTAAGAGCTCATAAAATATGTACTTGACCACAAAATACATTTATTGTGTGTTTTGGTTTTGTTTTGTTTTTTAGTCTTGCATTGCACTTACCTAGGGTTTACAAGTACTATTCTTTACCAGGTTAGATTTTTTTTGTAATAGTTTAAATCCAGTGTTTTAATAAGTTTTTAAAACTATTTTTTTTAATAGGCACGTATCCTTTTGTGACTTCATCAAACTGCACAGTTGGAGGTGTGTGTACAGGTCTGGGCATGCCACCGCAGAATGTCGGGGAAGTGTACGGAGTTGTGAAAGCTTATACAACCAGAGTTGGCATCGGTGCCTTTCCTACAGAACAAAATAATGTGAGTACTATCAGCCCTACATGTGACCTGTAACTGAGTGAAATAACTTGGTCTGTATGTCTTATGTTAAATCAGTGTTAGTGGTTAAATGCAAGTAGATGATGGTGTGTTTGGATGTCTCATTCTTCTGATTCTAGACTGAGCTTACAGGACTGCCAGATCTGACTGTCAGTTTCTCAGACCTTCCTATGGAATAGAAGGCTAGAGCAGGAACAAATTTTGAGAGATTTGCTCAAATAGTATTCTCTTGAATTAGAAATAGCATTTTGTATTTCTGTTTTCATCCCAATGGACAACTTTGTGGAAAAACTGGGGGAAGAACTTATAAGGTAATATACAATATTGTAAAATGTTATTAAGTAAAATGTTGTTAAGTGTATACCTGCATTGTGTATTGCATATAAATAATAATAAAAAAAGGCTCATGTAATAGTGTTACTCTTTGTTAGGAAATTGGAGAATTGCTGCAAATGAGAGGTAAAGAGTTTGGCGTTACCACTGGTAGAAAGAGAAGATGTGGCTGGCTGGACCTTGTGTTACTCCGATATGCTTACATGATTAATGGATTTACTGCGTGAGTTATTTTGACAACTTTGCTGTCAACTTGACATAAAGTCATGGAATGCTACAGATTAAATTGTACATTTACTAGTTAGTAATATTCAGACTTAGTATTGATTTGTTGGTTATTTTGATAAATTAACTGTCCCTCATTTTTCCTAGCATTAAATATTTTTATATTTGACACTTTCATACTAGCAAATTTTTCTTTCCTTTCCTTGTTGCGCATCATTATTTCTCATATAAAATGATAAAAGAAACACGTATCCTGGTACTTGATGCTTCAAGCTACCCCTACCCCTACCATCCCACCAAACCAAATCAAATTCATTACAAGGGCCTTAAAACTTGATAGAGTTTGTGGTGTTTTGTTTTGTTAGTTTGTTTTCAAGATAAGACAGATGGGAACCCATCAGTATCTTCAGCAGTATGTGTAAATGTGGAAAATTTGGATATGACTTTGGGTTTTCAGTTAAAATGAAAAATAGGCTTGTCAAAACTGGTATAAAATTTCTAGAAGATCAAACTGCAAATACATGCTTTACTTAACATTTTCTATATTTTCTTGTCCTTTGTGTTTTTTATTTAGAATAGGATGCAGCCAGGTATTTACAGAGCCAGTGCTTGATTATTTTGCTGCCTGGGCTGAGGGCAGGAACATTTGGCAGAGGATAGGAACAGACAGCAACAGGCATGATGCTATAAAACTATCTCAAATGAATGGTCATAAAGTATCTTGGCAGCACCCTGACCAATTAAAATTCTAACACTTAAAGCTATAAACCAGTCACTGTAATTGAAGAATACCTGTCCTTTGAATTTTGCCCTTTTCTTATGGCTCTAGATTTAAGGATGCAACCAAAAGGCTATTCAAGGGATGTTTTTGTTTGTTTTTTAAGTCACATCAGATAAATAGATTAGTGCTATTACAAGCTATTTTTCTAAGGAAAGACAATTAATTGCAATGTGCAGGAATCAATTTTTCCTCTGGTATTTTTACAATGTGATAAGAGTTGAGAGTTGCTGAACTTCTTTAACCAGAGTAATGTTTCTTTATAGATTGGCACTTACCAAATTGGATATCTTGGATGTATTTCCGGAAATCAAAGTTGGTGTTGCGTACAAACTAGATGGTGAAATCATACCTCATTTTCCTGGTAAGACCGCTTGTTTAACAATTTTAGATTTTGTTGAAATGTAATCTGATACTTAGATGCACTTGACTTTTACTTGTAAAATTTATGACAGGAATGTGTTACTTCAGCATCAAGCCATTAATGTCTTCCCAGGTTGACCAGAGACACCCTGTACCACGTCTGTATCTGCACCCTAAAGACACTTGTACAACAAACACTGTTGTTTTCCTACTAGAAAGATGCAAAGTGCTATGTAAAGCTTCTTAAATGTGAATGTCGTTACTGCTTTTTCCTTTAACACAGCCTGCATTACCTTCAGGCTAAATTGGAAGCTCGTTTCACTCTAAAGCCAGGGTCTTATTCCCACTACTGTATTCATCCCCTCTTCTAGCAGGACAAGTCTTCATTTAAGCATGCAGTAATCCATGTGAGAGGACTGATCTGATTGAAAAGCCAGGTTTTTCTCTCCCTGTGTTATTTTTCTAACAGTTCAGTTCCCTTTAATGATTCACAGAACAGCCAAAAACCTGTCGCACTGACACAAGGGAAAAGGGGTGGGGGAGCAAATGAGCAGTTAGTTTAGGTGAAAGCAAGACTATTTTCTAATGCAGGACCAATATACATCATCTTAGCATGGTAGAAACTGTAGCTCCTGAGGAGGACAGTGGTCATTTTAGTGATCGTTTTTACCTGAAAAATGTATCTGCATGTTAAAAGATTCAAATATCTCAAAACATTGTTTTAATGGATAGTGCATCTTTTTCAGTTTGCTATGGTGGAGATACTCCTGAAAAAGGAAGCCCATTAACCGGTACTAAGGATAGGGCTTTCTGATTTTTCTGATGTGTGCATAGATGCCCGTTTCCATTCTAATTGCTACCTCAAGGTTTGAGGCTGGTCACAGGTTACCATTTTTCATATGATATCATCAGCAGATAACTTCTTGTGGGTGAAGAGATCAACTGTAGTAATCAAATACAGCTCACAGCAGAATTTATGTAGTATAAAGATGTAGTTATATATAAAGGAATAATTGATGACCTGCCAATATTCCTTGAAAATAGCACATATCTATTAGGGAAATTCTTAAGGTATTAACAAAAAAAATCTTCCCTTTCTCCCTGTGCTTGGGGGAGTTCTTTAGTTGATTTGCACTCTGGTGTCTTCAGACAAAAGTGCCAGTTACAATCTGACTGTGTACTGAATGGCATGTCATGCGCTTTCATTCAGGAAATTTAGTGCTCATCTTGTGCTAAACCAGGGAGTGCTTTTTCCCTTTTAAGATTCAGATATTTCCTGATTGATACCTTTATCCAAAATTTTGAGGAAATCTGTGTGTACTTTAGATGGCCTTTGAACATAATGGAGGTTGCACGTTTGAATTGAGAACTACTCAGTAAATGCTTCATTTGTAGCCCTGTCATCTAACCTGGGGGTTATTTGGGCTGTCTTGTTCTCAAGTCAGGAGGACCTTCTCTGGTAGTCCGTCGTGAAAGATTACATGAACGTGGCCATGTTTTCTAGTACTGAGTCTTCAGTGATTACTTTTTTTCCCCTCCCATTCATTGTGTCTCTCAGATGGGACCAGAAGCTTGTTACAGCTCCTGAAGGCAGGCTTTGCTCCCTGTATATGCTCAGGTAACAGGTAGCTGACCTTTGGTCATAGCAGCACAACATGGCTCACCTGCCTAACTGTATTTTTCTTAATTGTATGAACAATTAAGAATTCTGGTAGAAATTTAGTAGAAGCTGTTGTCTTTGCTGTTGACGTGCTGTCTTCCTTAAGTGTCAGGAAGGAGTTTGAGCTGAACTTCTGGTAAGCTGGAAGATGCTGTGTCTCACAGTGCCTCTGTGTTCCACACCTCTCTCTTTGCTACACTCCTCAACGTTTGGCAGCATTTTCAGCACATATGCTGCAGGTTACTTATTACCCCTGCCCCTGGCATAAAAACCAAAAGGTAACTTTCTTCCCACTTTGTGTTTTGCAGACCATCAGGTTATTTCTGATGTCTGTATGTCTGCATGCCGTGCACTTGTATAATTTATTTTTTTTAAACTTGCCACTTCGACATTTTGCATTTAATTTAGAAGAGATCTAGTCTGGGAATCTCTTGCTGGCAGGGTATTTCTTTCTCTCTCCCCTCCCTAACCTCCCACTCTCTTGGAGATGATAGCGATTTACCCTTCTTGTGAAATTACTGTCTCTAAATTAGAAGCACACACAGTGCCCACCATCTCAGGAAAAACATGCCGTGTTTCGTATATTGTCCCTTTTTTCCAGCTGGATCAGAGAATCATACAAGTCTCACTTTTTTTTTTAGCTTAGATTTCTGTGAGCATTTTGTAATCTCCTGTTAAGAAAGAATTGAAAACATCTTGTAAATTTACAGCTGACTTCAGTTGGTATCATTGAGGCTGTAGTCTTTTGCTATGGAGCTGGCCAGTATCTCCATTTCTGTTCAGTTTCAGGAGTTTATGAAAGAAAGACAGAACTCAAAGAACGTGAAAGCTGTGGTCTGGTCCTGCTAGTGCCTCCTGTCCAAGTTCAGGCATCAGTTGATCTCAGCACAGACAGACACAACCTCCAGCTCGGGAGGTTTTGAAAACACAGATCCTTAGGAAATTGGGAGGTTATTTTGGAGAAGCATGAAGTAAAGCTTTTTTTTCTTGTGCTCTTTTTCTGGGCATCTACTGTAGATTAAAGAGCTAGGACGCTGTGCTAAGTGTACCTTCGGTCTGACCTATATGACTGCTTTTATCACAGAATGGTAGGGGTTGGAAGGGACTTCTGGAGATCATCTAGTCCAACCCATCTGCTACAGCAGGTTCACCTAGAGCAGGTTGCACAGGACTGTGTCCAGATGGGCTTTGAATATCTCCAGGGAAGGAGACTGCAGCCTCTCTGGGCAGCCTGTTCCAGTGCTCTGCCACCCTCAAAGTAAAGAAGTTTTTCCTCATGTTCAAATGGAACTTCCTGTGCTTCAGTTTGTGCCCGTTGACCCTTGTCCTGTTGCTGGGCACCAGAGAAGAGCCTGGCCCCGTCCTCTTGACACCTGCCCTTTAGATATTTATAAGCATTGATAAGGTCCCCTCTCATTCTTCTCTTCTCCAAGCCTCTCAGCCTTTCCTTGTAAGAGAGATGCTCCCGTTCCCTCATCATCTTAGTAGCCCTCTGCTTGACTCTCTCCAGTAGTTGCCTGTCCCTCTTGAACTGGAGGGCCCAGAACTGGACACAGTACTCCAGATGAGGCCTCACCAGGGCAGAGTAGAGGGAGAGGAGAACCTCCCTTGACCTGCTGGCCACACTCTTCTTAATGCACCCCAGGATACCACTGGCCTTTTTGGCCACAAGGGCCCATTGCTGGCTGATGGCTAACATGCTGCCCACCAGGACTCCCAGGTCCTTCTCTGCAGAGCTGCTCTCCAGCAGGTCAACCCCCAGCCTGTACTGGTGCATGAGGTTATTCCTCCCCAGGTGCAGGGCCCTACACTTGCCCTTATTGAACCTCATTAGGTTCCTCTCCGCCCAGCTCTCCAGCCTGTCCAGGTCTCGCTGAATGGCAGCACAGCCTTCCAGTGTATCAGCTACTCCTCCCAGTTCTGTGTCATCAGCAAATATTCAGTTTCTGGAAATTGCTGGAGGATCTTTTTCTTACAATGGTGCCAAGATGCAAATTTCAGCTATTCTTTTTGAATTGGAAGTAGCATTACATCATTCCCTCTCTAAATTATAGTGCCAGACTACCGGATATCCTTATATATGTGCTCTCTCTGTTATCTAATTCAGCTGTTAATAAGGAATATTCTAGAAAGCCTAAAAAGTAGATCCCCTAAGGGAAGAGCTGAGAGAAATCTAGATGGTGACTGCATCTTTTACTACACTGGGCTGAGTTTTATGGCTTATCTTTACCACCCATCATCTTTTATCACACCTGCTGGAGCAAAATGAGAGAATCATTTGAAATATCAGGAATTTATGCCTTCTTTTTCTTCCTCTCTTTTGGGGATGTAAGGAATGGAGTAATGGAAGATTGTAGACAAGATTAGACCATACAGTTCTAAGTGCTTTCAGCTTTCTCCCAGCTTGCCTCATCAGAGACTTCAAAGCAAAAGTGCCTGTGGACCTCCAAGATTAGGTGTTCGGTCACTTTACCTCTTCAGAAAGAAAGAGGGAGGCTAGTGTCTTATTCTAGACCATCTGCACTGCCTGGAGATTAGTTTGTGGTTTTGCACTTTGAATATAGCTATTCTATTTTACAGATCACTTGGATGGCAAACAACACCTCAGTTGTTACTGCTGGTGACATTAAAGAAAGTGCTTATTCATGGCCTCTGCAACCCAGCATCCTTAATGTGCTTGTCTGTCTTGATTACAACAAGTATTGATTCAGGATCATTTGCCTTAACCTGTGAACACCTCAGTCCAAAAACTGTGCATTTCTTCACTGTTGTAGGCTTTGATGTCAGTAGAGCATAGTCCTCTTTCACCCTTACTCAAAATGCCTCGTTCATAAAGGCTGTCCTTACAACATTGCTACTGTTGAACTCTTACATGCACCAGGACAAATTATTCAGTATGCTGAGCCTGAGTTTGTTGGCTACACACACACTGGAGGGGATTAGCTATGGTTTTGTATTTGCACCTCCACTGTGCCTCTTGCACCTAAAACCCTTCCCCAGGTTAACTAGCTGTCCTTGCCGGAGTGACTTGATCTGAGACATGAAGCCTATATGACATTAATTACAGTGCCTTTGGCATAACCCTGTCTTTTTCAGAAAGGCAAGAAAGCCTGACACCTCCCATTTTTTTAAAAAATCAATGTATTTTGACCATTTTGAGGCTTAAGGCTTTTGTTTTGCTGTCCAGTGTCATTCCAAGACTAATGTTCAGATAATTATTGCAGTGATTCCATTCCAGAACAATGTGCCTAGCATCTTTTCCGGTACTTGAAATCATCACAGGGATTTAGCGTTAATGGAAACATTGTAGCAAGTTACTAAATGAAGGGTAAAATGGGATATACTCATTGCTTCTGTTCTGAGAAGTAATTGGAACAGTTACTGTTCATACATCATGTGGGACTCCACACTGGTTGACAAATTCGTTGTAGAGTTTCAGGGCAAAGGGTGTGTAGGCATCAGAAATCTATTATGTATGAACTACATCATATGACTATGTATGGTTAATAAAAAGTACGCTCCCCTGCCACTTTAAAATGTTTTAACTGCCTGATACAAGCTGGTACCTAATTTTGCTTTCCCATCACCATGTTCTATCATAAAGGGGGAGCTGGATCTTGGTATTTGTTTAGGGGGGGAATAAAAAAAATCAAAGTTTTGGGGAATTACTTTTCCTGAAACTTCTGAACTGAAAAGATTGTTGTTTAAGCAAAATATATGCATGTGACTGTAAGTACAGAAATTCCTAAAGTGTAAGTCCTGTTAGTTACTGGATTATTTTTTTTCTTTGCTTATATTAACAAAAAAGGACACTTCAGCACCTTCAATGCTAGTACTGTCTTATGAGTAAAACCTTTTTGTGTAAGAAAAGAATAAGAAGCTTTACAGTTGTGTGTTTAGTGGTAGAGCATATATAAATCTTTGCGGACATAATATTTTTGTTCCTGTTTGCTTCTCAGCCAACCAGGAAGTCTTAAATAAAGTAGAGGTTCAGTATGAGACACTCCCAGGATGGGATACGGACATATCAAATGCAAGGACGTTTGATGAGCTGCCTGTAAATGCACAAAATTATGTTCGCTTTATAGAAATGGAGTTGGGTGTTCCTGGTAAGTAAAACAGATTTTGTTGTTGTTCTGGTGTTTCCTCGCTCCTTGAAACCTATCTTGTACTTTGTCTTAATCAACATTCAAAATATTGAAAACTAGTTTGTAGCTGTGCTCATTCTGACATACCTGGTGATCTTGGAAATTATTGTTTTACTTCCTTTGAATCTATTTAGCTTCTGAATTGACAATTTTCAGAAGTTTTAATATGCATTCATTGGCTTATACTATAGTTCTTGTTCAATTGAGATTTTTATAACTTGCATAAGTGTTTTTCAGATTGGTTAATAGGGGTTTAGTTCTGCTGCCATTATAAAGTCAGTGGGACTACTGGTATATTAATGTGCTTAAATATATGTGACAGTAAGAGGTCCTAAACTAACAAGTTTCTCTTATGCTGATCCTGTGGTTCCATCCAAAGCTTGGAATTAGGAGATAATGCAAATCTTTACTTTTCTGGCAGTTTCTATGAATCTTTTCTTCTACGGTCTGGAAAACTAATTAATTCATTATGGCAGCTTCAAGACTGTTCCTACTTTTCTAAGTTATCAATGCAATCTTACTTTGAGAACAATAGACGTAGTTATTATTTCTTAATGTACTAATAGTATGTGCTGTGTTTTTCTTCAGACTGGTACTTAAGATCTTAAGGGCTTAAGAAGATAAGTTTGTATCTTATCTTAAGATAAAATGCGATTTTGCTTTGTATTACTTATAATAAAAGTTTGCTTTTCTCTCCTGCAGTTAAATGGATTGGAGTAGGGAAATCCAGGGAATCAATGATCCAGCTGTTTTAAAGATTTCAGATGCATGGAAGAAAGCACACTCCTCAAAGACTGCTCATTCTTAAATGCATTAGTAGCCCGCAAAGCAAAGATGTTGGAAAGATAGATTTTTGCATGGAAAGAAATGCTAGAGTTGAGACCCCCAAATCAGTCGCTACTCCTGAAAGAGACTTTTAACATGAACCTGTATCAGTTCTTGTTTGACTGCAATTTCCAGGACACTTGTCACTGTTGTTCAAGGTGCCATCAGATTTATTTTTTCTTATGTAATATTTACTTCATAATGTAATTCCTGTTTGAAAATCTAAGGTAGCATTACTTTCATGACTGTTTGTCTTTGTTATCCTCTCTCTGCTTTCGGCGGTGTTACTTCCCTGAAATTTTAGACAGTAAAAACAATGCAGTTTTGCACAGATAGTTTTACATCCTCATTATTTGTATTCCTAAAGCTGTTGTATTCTTAATGGCTGCTCTTGTGAGTGATTAAAGAGGGGGGTTCTGATTTTATAATGCTATAAATGCTGTCTAAATTATTATGTGATCTGTTTTTTAAAAAAGTGATGCCAAGTTAAGAATGTCCAGGTTTTTTTAGCTATATAACACAGAAAACTTACTCTTTGTAACTCACAGAGGACACTCAAGTGTTTACCAGGAAGTGTGCCCAGAAAGTTAGAAAATTGATATTGTAAAAAGTTCATTTGCAATTATTAAAGAACTGTTCTGATTTTGAGTTAAATGTTTTATAATGTTACTTATTGTTTTTTCCAGTATTTTAAAAATGCTGCACTTCTCTGCTTCCAAGGCGCGTATCTCAAACTGTTTCCCTAATTAAATGAGGTTATATTTACATTTGGTGAGAAATCTTAACATTTTGATGCCCTTTTAAATTCCTTTCTGTATAGCCAATAGAAGATCTTTCTCTGGAGAACTGGCAAAGCGCAGACACTTTCGTCATTATAAATTGAAGATGCTTTAGAAATAACATTTAAAGCATTCAGTGTAATTGCTTTAGAAGTAGGGAAAATAACAAGTATTCACCTCAAGACATCTGACATTTTGGCTTATTAGTGTTGGGAAATGTTCTAGAATTATTTTAATTTATAACCGTTATTATATATTCCAAAGAACCTGATTTCTTTTGGCAACAACCCAATAATTGCATATTCCCTTTCCAGATTTGTTGAGAATGACTTTGTTTTTACACTATAGTATGTTATTCATGTGTCTCCTTTTTGCTTAAAAGACAGCTCAATTTGTTTCTCAAAGCAAGTTTGTATCAGGGTAGGGCAGTAGTTTCAGATTTAGTTTTAGTAGGTTTTGGCTATGCGGATGAACATAAGAAACGTAATGCAAAATAAAAGATACAAGGCCTTCCAGATTAAGTCTTATCTAACCAGATGTTTCCTGAAATGATTTGTTGGATTGATGCTGCTGAGGTGTTCTGCACGATGATTATGTTCTCAATTGATATAAAATTGTTTGTCATAAGAGAAGAGGAAGGTTGAAGGATAAAACTACTGATATTTAAGGAACATTTTCTGTTGAATTGCCTGCATGTGATAGGGCAGTTAGCAGGGTGTATGTTTTACTTGTAATATATGGAAAGAGGAGGATACCACAGAATGCTGGAAAAATTCTTAAATGCATTGAGAGACCTTTGAGTCAGCACAGCATTGCATGGTAGATACTCTCCTCAGCATTATAAAACAAACAGCTTCATACTCCCTAGTATGAAGGGAGCATACTTCATACTACCATCCCTCCCTAGCTAAGGGACATCTTGAATTAAATTATCTTCCTAGTTTCCTGATGAAGAGAAGGAGGGATGTAACTGTGTGAAACATAAATTCCAATGCTCATTTAGAAGGAAAAAAAACCCATACTACTGTTTTCTAGGTGATGGAGGGAATTGACCTTGCAATGTGAACAATAGGTAATAGTTACTAAGTATTCTTGTCTTCTTGTAGCTGTAGGAGGCACCAAGGGGATTTGTGCTGTGCCAAGGACTGGCAGCCTAACTGGTTCGAGGAGTGGGTAACTATATAAGTGAGGGCATGCTTTCCTTCTACAGTAAGTGAATAAATGAGGGCTCACTACATAGTTGTGTTTCGCTTCTGCCAAGCAGGGACCTTCAATTTGAAGGCCTGTTTCAGTTCTTCCACTGCTGTAACTCCACTGTACAAACTACCTTTGTTTTTCAGTTGAGGAGTTCGTATTCCCAGATGCAGCAGGATTTCTAAGTGACGTAGCTATAGCCTAAAATGATACAAAGTACTCGTGCGGTTAAAGCAGCAAACCAGAATTGTCTTGGATGCAAGTGTGATTTAAGTTCTTTTGCTTTCTTTTAAGTTCAGCTGAGATTTTTCTTAGATTCTTCCACTCAAGTTCAGACCTGGAAGGTTGAAAACATCCTCCTACCAATACTTGTCCAGATAATATGTGATCCAGGATCTGTTGGTGTAGATTTACTCTCATAACCTGGAACGAAGTATTTTTCTCTTTGAATTTCAGGTGGTTAAACTTGGCATTCATAAAGCTTATTATGTTGTCCCTGAATGTGAGTTTTGCCTAAGTTTTCCTGGAGTGAATTCTTGGACTGGTGCACAAACACTTCCATGCTGTCAAAGAATGGTTACATCCCACCAAATCCCCTGCTACTTTCTACCCCTTATTTCATTTGTATGTTTGGGGAAATAGGCTTGGAAGTCTTATCACCAACCTGAATGTTCTGCAAGCAAATATTAAAAGTTACAGAGATTATTTCAAGCTCTGTATGCTCTGCTCTTGAAACCATGCTATGTTCAACTATGGAAGCAAAGAGGAAGAAGAGAACAGCAGCCTAATACTCTACAACCAGCAGTGCGTTTAGCAGGGGCAAAGTTAAAAGGCTTTGAAGGCACTTGCGGTTTTTTCTGTAGCCAAAATTCACTGTTCCACTTTTTCGCCCCCCTTCATTAGTGAAGAGCCCTTTGGCTTCAAAGAAATTGCCACGCTCATTGGCAAAAGGCTTTTGGTTGTCTGTCACAGGCTAGCAGTAAGCTGTAATAGAAGGAAAAACCTTTGTACTTCAAGGACAAGCACGTATTTCTCAGGCCCTTCCTGTATACTCCCTTTCTCTCTGAAACCTTTTCCTAGCTCGCAAGGGGAGAGGATGGCAGCATAGGACGGCAGTTGAAATTGATTCTTCTCCAAGTGTCCCCTCCCACTAATGGGATGTTTTCAGGAGGCATGGATACCTGTTAGACCTGACAAGGCTGATGACAGACAAGGTGTTTTGATCTAATGCCGTTCTCGGTGCTGCTGAAATATTTACAAGTCTGATTCTCCTAGGCTTGTGCTGTACTGCAGCATTTAATAGCTTTTATGTCCTGAGGGTTTAGTGAGTCTCCTTTACTAACTCATAGGAGGGGAAGTGAGGGATACTTCTGCTGCTTAGCCTTTCCATTTGTATTCCACGTGTAATTGGGTTTTGGCATGTATCTAATGGACAAACCTTGAGATAAAGTGGCAGACAGATAATGTTGATGTAGTGCATGACAGCTGCTTTCGTCTGTCACCGTCCTGGAAATCTTTCTAATAGAAGATCATAGTTTCCTTTTGCTGTTACAGCCAGCTCCCTTAATGAAACAGAAAGGTCTGGCTGGTTTAGAAAAAGTAAAAGGCAACGTAGCTGGGAATGAAGATAAGGGACAACTCAGTCAGGTGAGTTTTCTCCTGCCCCTACTGTTCTTACTCTCTGAAACAGTGAAACTTAATAAGCCTAGTGCTGTAGTAGTCAGGCACACTTTTTAGTGCATGACAGCTTTACATACTTAAGGCAGCCTGCTGTGCATATGTGCATACACACAGATGATGCATTATTTGCAGAGACTTTGTGTTACACCATTCTCTGAGTGTTACAATTCCTTTGACATGGCATCTTTAAGATACCTTGCAATAAATACACATTCAAATATCTTCCATTCGACTTTAAACAGATAGTGTTGAGTTAAATCCTGATGTTCTTCACTGCCATTTTAGAACTATGAAGTGTATCAAAGCAATGTGTTTTCTTACACTATGTTAGGAGGTTTTTTTTGTGATGAATCAACTTGTGCATGTGTCCAGGTACTTGCTCTTTAGCTCTTTCGATACACCATACTGGCGTTATCTACGGTGTGTTTGAGTAACTATTTTTAGATGAGTTTACAGAAATACAGATAGTTTGCCTTGTTCTTGTTCTGGCTGACTTCTGCATATTACAGGGGGAACTGGGTTACCTGCCTGTTGGTACTGGAGAGAGGGTATGACTTTAGGGGACATGTGGCAGCTCTTTTTTGGAAAAAGTGAGATGACTTATTTTTTCTCCATGCAATTTAGGAGTAGTTTGTTTACAGCAGAGGCCACCTCCCTAGTTCATCTTCTGTGCCCCTCGACAGGAACACCAGCATGGATTGGTTACTTGTGTTGAGTTATGGCAAGTCAAATGCTGGTTTTTATGAAGTTTGATTGTACCAGTTGCTGGTGGTCTCTTCCATTAGTTTTTGGAAATGCACATACTTCCTGAGAGCTGAATTGTCAGTCAGGTTGGGATGGAGTTTCAGCTTCGTAGCGTACTGGAGCCGGTTGCAGTTTACCGAAAGGTCTAGGCAAAAAGCATAAATCATTCTGTAATCTCATGCTGACATATGGTATGTAAATACCATGATCCACCCAAAGGGTAGCCAGCATTATAAATGTGCTTTCTAATC